ATAAAGAGAAAAAGAAAAAGGAAGTTGAATCATTGTCCTTTCAGGCATCCTGCCACATCCTGTTATGTAACAAACATACAAGAGTAATAAAAGGTTGTCATTGAAAGCCCATCATGACCTTCTGGCCAGTGCCTATAGAACATGGATTATTATTATAAGCAGATCGTTTTTGACTGATCCTAAACCTTGATATCAAATGGTGAATATTGTTTTCTTTATAATATGTGGAATTTTAGATGCACTTATGATTTCTCATGATCACCATTACAACTTGTGTATGTAATTTTGTAATTGTAATGTGACAATTAATGATTTAAATGGATTTGATCATGAAGTATTTTACTGTAAGTTAATAGACTATTATAATATAATAAAGTAGAAAGTAGAAATGATGAATTGGATGGTGAAATGTGGGTGTTCCACACGCAACCAGAGTCACAGCTGATCGTGGAGGTCTACGGCCCTCCTGAATCACACTTTTGAGGAGACTTTTTTGAAAAGGATGCAGAGTTCCCTCTTCAGTTATCTCTTCTTTTTCAAATCTGTTGGTATTTGCTATGATTGTTGTAACATTTATGCCAGCATCTATTTACACTTAGCCTTTGCCAACAAGGTTAGCTGTTTGCACTGTTTTCACTGAGTCTGCCCACCGTTGCTCAGATATTTTACCTTTAGCACAAGTATATTACTACTATTAACTTTTATTCCATATTTAAAATTCGGTTAACTATTTGTACGATTTTAGAAAGGCAGCATACCTATAACAATGGCTTCAACACTGACATATAGCTTGTTTTCACTATTGATTGCAATTTTTCCTGACATCACCTGAAAGGAAAATTATTGCAAAAGCAGGGCAGATTATTACATTTTGTTATTACATGGCTGTGTGGATTCTGACTGCTCACATGCAGTAAAACAGTCAGTATGTTGATGTTTCCATTGTTGTCCATGTCAACACTCATCCAGGTTAATGAAACCACTTTCGCGTCTCATATCACACCTCGAATTTGCTCTCTCTTATTACACACAGTCACAGCTGACACCGTCGTGTTACTGATACTGACTGTATTTCTATAGTTTACTTCCTACAAAAGTACAAAGACATTTATTTCTATTAAATTAAATTTTTTGGTGAATCCTGCATAAAGGATGTGATTAATGTTATTTGCTGCGAGACTTCAGAGCTGCAAACAAAAAGGTTTAAAGTCTCGGACTTAAAGTGGAGGAATGAGCAAATAACAAGGCTTCCCTCAGCGCCCTTCTGCTCTGTACAGAGAGAGCTACTGGCCGCAGGTTTCTCCAGCCATGAAGTTCTTTAGAAGGACCCTGAGCATTCATCAGCACTGTCACGGCTTTCAGCACGCGCTTGTAGTTTTGTTAGCCACCAGAAGGTGGTGTACAGGAACACGAATCTCTGCACTACAATCTCTTTCTCAAGCCCAGTCAGTAAATCACATCTGTGAAAGTGTGAGCTTTAGTGTTTGAATTTAATCAGATCTATGACTTGACAGAGAGCTTGAGATAAAGGACTGATCAGCTCTAAATGGATGGAGGCTAGTACGACTGACAAAGTCTGTTGTTGTGAAACGCATTTTAAGGCACTATTGATAACACATCAGGTGTGTATACAGGGCTCATATTACAAGTAATACAGTAGTAGTACACATTTCACATACAGATGGATGATGAATGATGAATGAAAGGAAAATCCAGCAGCTCTGTTATGCAGTGGAGGGCATTTTACTGACATGGTTTAAGGGGAGACTCACTGCCAATCATGTTCTGAGTAATCACCTCTATCCTATGACGAAACATTTCTACCCTGATGGGCCAGTCAATGGTTTGATTAGTCTGAAAATAATGTGAATCATATCCTATGGTCTTCACATAATTCAACAACCATCTGAACACCTGTCATGTTAGACAGCACATGAGGGAAGAAGACTCCAAGAATCAGTCTCAAGGCACATTAAAGCTGATGTGTGGCATATGGCAACCCAACACTGTACTAAAACACTTTATGATGTTTTTTTCCCCCTTTCATTTGGCATGCATCCAGCTCTCTCTCGGTGTGTCTCTATATATGTATATATATATATATATATATATATATATT